TCGAAATCATAGACTTACAAATTTATAAACTTAGTATTAAAAATTGCAAAAATCTAAAATTTCGAAATTTCCTTAACAGACTTAATGCAAAATACCAATGAATAAAAACCACACCAGTAATTTAATAAACCCAACAAGCCTGAAAGCGTTTTCTTGTTTCCGCAACAACTTTATCTCTCGAAAGATTTCAGAAACCACTTTTTCTAAGATAAATCGTGAAGAAAGTCGAGTTACTCCAACTCTCAACATTTCTCACCAATCTGCGCTCCCTGTACAATTTTTTTCTAACATGGAAGAAACAATTTGTCGCGAGAAGAAAACATTAAAACGTTACTTAACTACTCCGTTACGACAGACCGAAACGTTCATAGGGCTATTAGAGATATTGTTGACGATAATGTAACTTCTTCGAGTTCGTAAGCCAGTAGCGAATCGCAGAAAGTTTGCAAGGGGACCAGTTTGCCAAGTGGCTATCATTGTCGAGAGTTCGCGAAAACCAACGACGACTTTCTAATTTCTTCGGTTGCATAGCTTCGTTGCACAAAATTGCGTTGCGATGGTATAAAAAACAGAAATCCACTTGGCAAACCTTTGCGAAAGATATTTTCATTTTATTCCAAGCCTTTCTATTACGATGTTCGAGTTTGTACACGCGGTACCAGTAACTCTTACAGGAATTTAATATACCTTTCCGCATTTGCATTTGGTTGAAGGAAATTGAAAATTTTGACTTTAATGGAAATTTAGATTTGTTGGTAATCTTTTCATGTGATTTGTGAATGGTATTTTACAAATTTGGAAATTTGAGAATTTCAAATTTGAAAATTACTAAATTAAAAAATTTTGAAACTCATGGGTTTGAATTTCTAAATTTGCAAATTTGCTCATTTTTCCTTTCTCAGATTTAAAATTTTCCAAATTTCCCAGTTTTTCAAAAATTTTCTAGGTTTGTCAAATTTTAAATTTTCTAAATTTCTGAAACGTTCAAAATCCTCCACTTTTCCTATTTTCTAAAATTTCCAAATTTCCCAGTTTTCTCAAATTTTCAATTTCCCTCAATTTCTCTATTTTCTAAAATTTTCCAAATTTCCCTTTTTTCTCAAATTTTCAATTTCCCCCAATTTCCCTACTCTTAAAAATTTTCCAAGTTTCCCAGTTTCCTCAAATTTTCAATTTCTCCCAATTTCCCTATTTACTTAAAATTTTCCAAATATCTTAGTATTTTCAAATTTTCAATTTCCCCAAATTTCCCTACTTTCTAAAATTTTCCAAGTGTCCCCTCAAATTTTCAATTGTCCTCATTTTCCCTATATTCTCCAATCTTCCAAATTTCCCCAGTTTTCTCAAATTTTCAGTTTTCCAAATTTTCGAATTGTCCAATTTTCTTCAAGTTTTCCAAGTTTCCCCATTTCCTAAATTTTCCAATTTTATCAAGTTTTCAACTTTCCAAATTTCTCAAACTTTCAATTTCCATTTTGAAAATCTCAATTCTTAAAATTTTCCAATTTTCCCAAATTTTGTACATTTTGCAAATTACTAAATTCTCAACCCTAAATGCTAAATGACCTCAATTTTGCAGTTTCTTCCATCAAACTATTAAAATGGACCAAAACTACTATAATAGGTTTTACATCACACTATAAACTTCATACACTATATACTTAAAATTAGTCTTCAAAAAAACATCCCCAAATATTGTCACCTTAATCCTCCAATTTCTTTAAATCGAAAAATTAAAAGTACTTCTAATGATTGCTTTCAATGCTTGTATAAAAGGTTTTACACGACTCTCTCTTCGAAACGATATTACCTTGTTGATTCCGTACATGTCGTTATCATACCAGAAACGAATGATTCCTATTCGGTGTTTTAATACCATAGCTGTACGTAACTCATTCGTATTCATCTGCAGTAGTCATCGGCGTTCAATGCCAGTGTGGCATCTGTGGTACTCGAATCAATCGTCCATTTCTCAAAGAGACACAGTGCATCCAAGAAAGTCGCGGCAATCGCGGTATTGTCCTATTACTTTCATCGATGATTGTTCGATGAACGACAATTATAATCGATTAACGCGATCGTAAATCGTGCAACGTTTGCTTCGATATCGCTACTTTGCATCGATGGTAGCGCAACTCAAAAAATGTTCATTTTCGAGGAGGCATTCTTTCAAAATTTTCATTTGTAAAAATACCTGAAGCTAATTTATTAATCATGTGCAATTATTCGGTATTATTGTATTTAATTATCAATTAGTTGATTGTATTTAATTATCAATTAGTTGATTGTACTTAATTATCATGTGTTATTCATTAATGAAGTAATTATGATGAATTAATTGTTGTGTGTGATTCATTGCTGATTAATTCATTGTGTATGATTAATAATTAATATGCACATCATTGATTAATTGTGTATGATGAATTAACTATTACGTGTAATTATTCATTACTGATTAATTCATTGTGGATAATTATGTTCACAGTTCATCAATAATTGTGCATAATTTTTTATTACTGTGTATAACTCATTATGAATTAATTGTATACAATTTTTTATTATTTTTTATAAATGTTCATTATTAATTAACTGTGCATAATTGCCAATTATGTGTAGTTGTTCATTGTCAATTAATTTAGACGCCTGCTCTAATAGAAATAATACCAACCTAAAATACAATAAATTCGAAATTTTTCTAAGTTGTGCTACCATCCTAGCCATTTTTTTTATCTCCACGTACGATTGTCCGTTCCAACAGATAGTTCATCAAGGTTGATTTTTTCCGGAAGTATAAATTGTTTTTCGAGGAAAAAACCGCTGTTAAAATGTGCTTCATACGTTGCCTCTTAATCTCGATGTTCAATTACTTTCCTACAACCACGTGAGCAACGTTGATCATGGTGTGTGCGTGACTTTATTGAATTAAGAGAAGTCTCCGTATTAATCATGCTGCGTAAATTACTCAGAAAGTGTTGAGAAGTTGAGAAACAAAGCTGGTGATAATTTGCGCGAAGTATAACTCGTGAGAATTTGGACAAAGTCGAAGAACAGATTAGTGTTTTGAAATTGTGGATCTGCGTTTTGGAGAAATTGTGCATCTGTATTTAGGAGAAATTGTGGATCTACTTTGGAGACATTGTGGGTCTATGTTTTGGAGGAATCTAATTGGGAAATGTTCGGGGAATTTTCTTGATACAGAAGAGTTTAGTGAAGGTTTTTCAATTGTACTCTTTTAACCGTGAGAATTGGGAATTTATGTGAAAATGGTGTTTCGTCGACAAACCAGCGAACCGACCGGGAGTGTCACCAAAGGTCCTAGTATCACTCATAGTACCAGCTCGTCTGGTATTTTGTCAAGTTGGTACACGAAAATAACGACGAACGTGAAGAAGAGGCAACCGTTCAGTCCGAAATCTTTGTTGAAGAAGGCGTTGGTACTTATTGTTGTCTTTCTATTTCGACAGATTGTTCACGTGTCTTTTCATATATGTGCAAGTCAAGTTGTTTTATGTAACTTCAAATCAAGTTGTTTTATGTAACTTCAAGTCAGGTTATTTTATATAACTTCAAGTCGAGTTGTTTTATGTAACTTCAAGTCAGGTTATTTTATATAACTTCAAGTCGAGTTGTTTAATGTAACATCAAGTCAAGTTATTTTATGTAACTTCAAGTCAAGTTGTTTTATGTAACTTTAACTCGAGTTATTTTATGTAACTTCAAGTCAGGTTATTTTCTGTAACTTCAAGTCAAGTTATATTCTGTAACTTCAAGTCAAGTTATTTTCTGTAACTTCAAGTCAAGTTATTTTCTGTAACTTCAAATCAAGTTATTTTATGCAACTTCAAGTTAAGTTATTTTATGTAACGTCAAGTCAAGTTATTTTATGTAACTTCAGGTCAAGTTGTTTACTGTAACTTCAAGTCAAGTTATTTTATGCAACTTCAAGTTAAGTTGTTTTATGTAACTTTAACTCGAGTTATTTTATGTAACTTCAAGTCAAGTTATTTTATGCAACTTCAAGTCAGGTTATTTTCTGTAACTTCAAGTCAAGTTATTTTCTGTAACTTCAAGTCAAGTTATTTTATGCAACTTCAAGTTAAGTTGTTTTATGTAACTTTAACTCGAGTTATTTTATGTAACTTCAAGTCAAGTTATTTTATGTAACGTCAAGTCAAGTTATTTTCTGTAACTTCAAGTCAAGTTGTTTTATGTAACTTCAAGTTCAGTTATTTTATATAACTTCAAGTTAAATTATTTTGTATAAATTTAAGTCTAGTCATTTTATACAAGAGTGTAAATCTATATTCCTTCATTCAAGATTCAAAAAAAGTGAAAGATTTTTTGTGCAATCAAGTCGACTTCATCTAAAATTTTTGCAAAAATTTGTGATATTCAAAATGAGGAAGAACATACTTTTTAACCTTTGCACTAACAGTTCGTTATTTAATTATTATAATTTTTATTTTGCTCCTTTGTTCAGACTTTCAGTAGACAAGTAATTTTATGGCTGAAGTTCGTAAACTTATTTTTCGTTGCTATTTTGGTAAATTTTTCATATTTACAGTAGATAAGTTATTACATGGCTGAAATCCATAAAATTATCCTTTTCTGCTATTTTGCTAATTTTGTTATTTCATGGCTGAAATATTTTGTAGTACACATCTTGATAATTTGAAAAATTTTTTACTACACCTCGTGTGTCACAATAATCTCTCTGTGTATTGCCTAAAGCACACAACTTAATATCGTTAAACAGTGTAGTATTTAATCAAATAATATTTTTAATTAAAACTCCACCTATTAAAAAGTAATAAAATTTCAGAAAGCTTTCTTTTAGTATTTTGCATGGAGTGTACACAGTTAATCAAATGTTTGTACACGAAGAACAGGTTAAAAAGCAACTTTTAATTATCGTGTTTTTTTTATACGATAAATAGTAACGAAATTAAACTGTAACGTTAACATCGAATTAATATTAATTTGCATTTTTTATTTTTCAGCTACCAGTGGTAGATCCGTTCCTGGAAAAAGTTTCGCTCTCTGATCTCGGTGAGTTTTGTTTCATCAAATATTTACATTTCAACCTTTCATTTATTTAATTATTGAAACTGCAGTTTAAAATGCAATTCAATTCCAGACAAATAACATATATTACCTCGATCAATAACTCGCAATTTATTTTATAATAATTTCAATACTTTTTCAACTCTCCGGACTGTATTCTAAATCTTGCAAATTATTTAAACATTACAAATAATCGAGTACCTATTTATTTAACATATAAATCATTTTAACTTTAAAATACTTTAACCACAGACAAAATTAACATAATTAAAAAAGAAAAATTAATAATTTCAAAAGAAAACAATTTTCATATAAACAGTAAAAAATCTTTGAATTGCATTTCAAGCTCAAACAGTTCAATAATTTTGTCTGAAATTGTCCATAAACAATTTGGAACAATAAACAATCGAACAAATCGACGTCACAATGTGTTCATCAGAGCGAAAATAAGGAATTACGTGAAATTCCGTGCTTTTCCAAAAATTCATGTTCGAACATTCTATTAATTTTTCACGAAGGGAAACATTCGACGGGAATATCGCGACAAATTACTGGGCAGATTTTTTGAATTCTTGTACCCCGTGTGCATTAAACTCCACATAGTAGCAGTCAGTTTTATTGCACTCGCAATTGAGCGACTGTACGTACATTCAGTTGATAGAATGCTTTCACGAAAGCTCTAGAGTCTAGAGAAAGAGAGGAACGCCGGTAAAATCGATAGAGCAGGTTATGTATTTATAAATAAATGGCGTTGCGTGAATAAGGGCTACGTGGAAATTCTTGTCAAGTTAAAGGACGGAGAAATTTCGTAGGTACTCGTTGTATAACTGGATTAACCTTTGGAAAAATACTGATCAAGTTACGTCAGTATCTGAATGCGTGCAGATACGTCAATACATTGTCGTGAATTTCGATCGCTTTTTTAATGGAGATTTTAGACGATATTTATGGGAATTAAATTTTTAGTTAATTTGTAGTATTACTGGTAATTATGGGTATTATAATTCAGGGAGGTTTTAGCTTTTGTGGATGATATTATGGTGGGGGTATTTTTTAATTCGAGGATTTGAAATGTGGGAATTTGGGGATTTTTGGGATATGGGAATTTGGGGATTTTTAGTAATTTTTGGACGTGAGAATTTAGGGATTTTTGGTAGTTGGAAATTTAGTAATTTTGGGATGCAGGAATTTGGGGATTTTTGGTATTTGGAAATTTAGTAATTTTGGGATATGGGAATTTGGGGATATTTAGTAATTTTGGGGCGTAGGAATTTGGGAATTTTTGGTATTTGGAAATTTAGTAATTTTGGGATATGGGAATTTGGGGATTTTTGGTAACTTTTGGACGTGAGAATTTAAGGATTTTTGGTATTTGGAAATTTAGTAATTTTGAGATATGGGAATTTGGGGATATTTGGTATTTGGATATTTAGTAATTTTGGGGCGTGGGAATTTGGGGATTTTTGCTATTTGGAAATTTAGTAATTTTGGGATGCAGGAATTTGAGGATTTTTGGTATTTGGAAATTTAGTAATTTCGGGCTGTGAGAATTTGGGGATTTTTGGAATTTGGTGTTATGGAATTTTGGAAGTTTGAAGTTTGGGAACTTCGAGATTTGAAAATTTGGAAATTTGAAAATTTATAAATTTCGATATTTAGACACTCGGAAATTTTGAAATTTGAGAATTTAATCAATTAGGGATACAAAATTTGGAAATTTTGAGATTTGAAAATTTGATAAACTAGATATTCATAATTAGGTAATTTTAGGATTTGAAAATTCAATAAATTGTAGCCCCAAAATTTCGTAATTTTGAAGTTTGAAAATTTGTTCAGAATTTAAATATTTTGTACCTAGTTCAAAAATTAAGAAATTCTAAAATTGATAAATAGGAATGTGTGCATTTAAAAATTTACCCAATTAAAAATTTAACGTATTCTGAAATTTATAAAGCTTGTAATCCTCAAACTTACAATTCTGACAACTTCTAATTAGAAATTAAGAACTTTAAAATTTCAAACTTTGACAAATCCACGATTGAATTACGAGAAGAAAAATATATTCCTATACTTTAACGTCGTCAATCAAATTATTTAATACACAATTAAATCCATACTCGAAGGTTAAGTAGAGGGTTAAATCGAAGCAGGAAGTGTTCCCACGTGCTCGACCCTATAGATTTTCCCTTGAAATCGTGCTACTGGATTTCCCCGTATCCTCCTTCCTGCTGTATCGTGGGTGTATGGTGTAGCGATCGATGAATTCCCGGGAGTCGTCCAGCTCGCTCGTTCAACCTCGACAAAGACGGACAGATCCGGAAAAACTGTGAAAATCAGAAAGGAAACGGTGCTTCCCGATCCGGCGAGACAGTTAGGCCAGACAGATGAAAGAAAACGGTAGACGGGTCGGATTCATAATGGAACGGAACCAGCAAGAAATAACTGCAAACTTATTTGAATCGGAAATTTAATGTCGGATAAAACGCGTTCGTGTGTTATTTTTATCATTGACGTATAATCTGCACTTTGGAATTAAAAATGAAGTTGAAAAATTTATAAACAGATGGAACTTAAATTGATATGCATTTATTATTCTGATTAATATATGCATTAGTCCTTATGGAGGTCGTGAATGTGGCAGATTTTAGAGAAATTATTTTAACAAATTCTGTGGCTTTAAATAAAAAGCTTGTAAAACGTGTAAATGTTGTGTAGTTTTTTGGTAGTTTTAGTGATAACACGTTGACTGTTAATATTAATAGTTGTCACGTTAAGGAAGATTTCAGAGAAATCACCTTGTCAAATTTTGTGACTTGAAATGAAACTATAACACTATACTACTAGTAACTATAACTATAACACTTGTAAGAGGTCGTTCGATCAATTTGATAGTGTAGTGTTAATATGATGCCTATTAAAATTGCCTTTAGTTATATTAATAAACATTTCGAAGAAATCGCTTTAACAAATTTTGTGACTTGAAATAAAAAATTTGTAAAACGCGAAAATGTTCTGTAGAACATTTTGGTAGTTTTAGTGTTAACACGTTGACTGTTAATATTAACCCCTTCCCGTGCTTTGACGAGTCTCACTCATGACGCACTCACAACTCAAATGTGATTAATATTACTCAAATTTTGAATACTCGTCAACTTGAATTTTAGATCCAACTATAATTTGCGTTGTCAAGGATCCCTGAATATAAAATACTTAGAACATTTTAATTTTCTTTGTTCGTTTTAATGTTATAGTCCCGAATGGTTAGTCTTGACTGACGCACCTCATAAATAAATGGCACGGCAAGGGGTTAATAGTTGTCACATTAAAGAAAATTTCAAAGCAATCACCTTGTCAAATTTTGTGACTTGAAATGAAACTATAACACTATACTACTAGTAACTATAACTATAACACTTGTAAGAGGTCATTCGATCAATTTGATAGTGTAGTGTTAATATGATGCCTATTAAAATTGCCTTTAGTTATATTAATAAAGATTTCAGAGAAATCACCTTAAATTTTGTGGCTTAAAATAAAAATGTATAAAATGGTCATTTAACTGTTTTGGTAGTTTTAATTCCTGCGTAGTTGATTGAGTCATTCATCGAATTAGATACCTGGTGCGTTTCTGACAATATTTTGTTACGTTCAAAAATCTTTGAACTGTTTTTAGGTGTCTCTTTATATATTCAAGTGCGAGTGTTTTAATTAACACTATTCCTACCGACACTTCACGTATACCTATTCCTACCGCGACCGGTCAAATGACCGGTCTTTAGCACAACTTATATTTTTTAATATAGGATGAAAATAATAGCCAATTTAATAATATAAAAATATAGTTTCTTTTATTTAGAAGTATATACTATGTACTTTATTCGTTTTCACAACATTTTTTACAAATAGGCCTCTCGATTGTACAATTTTCCACGTACATACTTTTTACATTGCAGACCAATTTTATTGGTTTTATTATCTTTGCAATACCTAATTTGACATGTTTTACGTTTTTCTGCACTGTCATTTTCAATATCAAAAATTTCCTGATCATTTTCGGTACATTCTTCATCAATATCATTTATTTTTTCTTATAATGAATTTACACTCTTCAAACTTGACATTTGACAAATGAATATTCAACTGAAAATAAATTTTATTCAAAATAAAAACTAAAATGTATAAATGTAAATCCAAATACATAAAGAAATGAATAAAAGATAAAATGTGAAACTTACGGCGAAGTACTGATGATTTTGTCTAGTTTTTTGGGATTTTGTCTAGTTTT